TCCTTCCCTCCCTTCCCCCCATCATGTGTATATTTTGAATTCCTTTCCTTGTAAGATTACCAGAATTTCTGTTCTGGGATCAGAAATAAAATATACTTACCTTTTAGAAGGCTCATGATATATGTGGCACTATGTTGAAGCAGAAAGGAACACACTTTATAGCCATATGCAAAGAAATCAAATTTCTAAAATTACACCTGGGAGCTTTACTATAAGTATGCTTTTAATTATAAATTTGTACCTTTTTATCAAATTACAGAATAATTGATTCATTTTTCTGTCTTTTATGTATTGTCATTAAAACACTTTTTTTCTCTTTTTTAAGTAATGCTTTATAAATGTGTACATAATATTCTAAAAGACATAATTTTAATATGCTAATTAGACATCAAGAGGAATACTAAGAAAATAAAACTTTAATGTGAACCAAGGAAATGGCTTCAGAGAAAGTCCAGATTTGACACTTTCAAAATTAGTTATTATGTGTACTCTAGAGAGAGTATGTGGTTTAAGTTCTTTACCGTATTAGTAGATACATTAATTAAATTAGTTGTCTTATGTGGTAGGGAGCTTCTTTGAATGTTGTCTTCTATGGTGACTTTTATAAACATTTATGTATTTGCAAATATAGGTATATTTAGTCTATTAAACTTTAAAGAGAAGAACACATATGTTTTCAGTTCATGGGAGAGTGAATCCTGTAGATTAGACAAGATAAGTTTTTTTTTTTTTTTGCTGTTAGCACAGTTCAGCACAACCACATATGACATCATCATAGCACCGAAGGGGATATCTTCCAATGGAAAATTGACTCTTGATGATTCAGGAGTGTGTGTGTGTGTGTGTGTGTGTGTGTGTGTGTGTATATATATATATTTTTTTTTTCCTCCTGGAATGCTTTTTCTCCCATGTGATTTCCATGTTATCCATGTGGTTTCCCCTCAGTTTTTTCAGGTCTCTGTTGAAATATCATCTTTTTAAAAGGATAGCATTACCTAACAAGTTTACCTAAAATACCCTCCTATTCAAGTCCTCCTTATCCTCTAATTCCTCTTATTTTCTTTATAACACTTTATAACCACTTGACGTATTGCATATTTGTTTGTCTGTCTCACTCACTAGAATATAAGCTTCATAGAAGAGGGAATTTGTTCATGGCTTTATGCCTACAGTGCAGAGCAGTAGGCTGCCAGGAAATAGTTGTTGAGGGAATTTATGAATGGGATTTCCTCTAATAGTGATTCTTAACTTACTTTAAGATTTCACTATTATTTTTTTTAATCAGCATTCTAATTTAACTGGTTATTTTGACCACTAATTATTTTTAATCTTTCATTGCTAATTTTATCCTGAAATTAACAGTATTCTCTTTATTGGTGAAAGGGCAAGGTTTCAGACAGGCATAATGAGACAGAATTGATAGATCTCTTTGAGACAGATCTCTTTGGTTTTGGAATGTGTTAATGTGATTTTTTGGAGTATTGTGGGGGACATCAGATCAGTTTCATTAGTCTTTCATTATATTTTCCTTAGGCAACACATTAAAATTTATCTTCATTCTGTGAGCTCATGCCAGCTAACTAGAGGAAGGAATTGGAGCAAAGTAAATTTTTGGAATCTATTTTTATCAAATATGGATCTTTAATGATAAGGATCCCAAACCTCTAAAGTGTTTAGAAACACCTCAGGCCTCCAGAGACTATAGAAACCTTAATAGAAGTCAGAGGTGGTTGTGCCCAGTTCTGCTGGCAAGTGAGGTACCTAATTTTTTTTTTAATACTTTAAAAAAAATATTAAAAAAAATATTTTTATTGATTTCAGAGAGGGAGGGAGGGAGAGGGAGAGAGAGATAGAAACATCAATGATGAGAGAGTCATTGATCAGCTCCCTCCTGCATGCCCCTTGCTGGGGACTGAGCCTGCAACCCCAGCATATGTCCTGACCAGGAATCAAACTGTGATCTCTTGGATCATAGGTCAGTGCTCAGCCTCTGAGCCATGATGGCCAGGTGAGATCCCTGATGTTTTTAACATAGTTATAGTTATCTAAAAGGTAAGTAGACTTCTTGAAAAATATTGTAGCTTTTTGCTATTAGAAGTCTGTGTTAAGAAATAAATGTAGGCACTCAGAAAAATGCGTTTATATATGCAGATACACGTCTTCAGATGTGAGCTGAGAAAAGGAGCTTGATGTGAGTTAGCAAAGCAATTATTGTATATAAACTGGCTTCTGGTAGAAAATCTCTCTTACCTAGAGATAGTTTTCTCATTCTGCTTGTCTTCCTGCCTTTCTGATGGCCACACCCTTCCTCCATTTGTGTGACATATTCATGTGCAACATCTGATAGGCAATTAAAATAGATCTTATGTAAGATAATATTCTGGTTTCAACCCTTTGGAAGTATATTTGCCCTTTCCCACTTCCTACAGGTGTATCTCAACACCATTATTGATATTTTCCCCTAGATGTTGACCTGACTGATTATTTTGGGAGGGCTGTATTTTCTTATTCTTTGCAATTTTTGGTATAGTCTTTTCTGTCATTCTTAGTTTTCTCAGGTGACCTTTGTCTTTTAAGGATTTTTTCCTCCACATTTTTAATTGATTTCTATTTTTCTTTCATTTTAGTTGAATTCTTAAAATACGATTTTGGTAATTATGTATTCATTTCTCAAGAGGCATTATGGAAGAGTAGTTAAAAGCATACGCTTTGGAACCAGACTGCCTAGGTTTGTATCTTAGCTTATCATTTACTACCTGGTTGGCTTTGCCAAATTTCACCATGTATCAAGTGTGGATAATTAATGGTATCTACCTCCTAGGGATATTATGAAGACTAAATAATACATGTAAAATCCGTAGGGTAGTATCTGACACACAGTAAACATTCAGTAACTATTAGTTATTGTTATTCTTTCTATAACAAAATATTGTTCTTTATCTTATATATAGTGTCATTGCATTTTCTTATTTTCATTAAGGTAAAGGTCAGATTACCTTCAATAAATTATGCTATCTCCACACTATGCAATACTATACACCATTAAAAGGATGAGATAGATCTTTCATATACTGACCAGAAAAGCTATTAATGATATTTTAGATGGTAATTTTCAGCTCCACATTTATATCAGAATTTAATGTTTAAAAGCTATATTATATAAATATATCTTTGTGTAAACATAAGAAAATATTGGAAAAAGTATGTACTTTGGATAAATGGATGGAGAAGAAATGAGCTCTTGAACTTCTTTATATGATTTAAAAAGTGGAATTATGGGAATACATATATACACACATATATACACATACACTTTGTACATTTCAGTATTTTTAAAACATTAAAACAAAACTTTGTGTTGGATAGACATTCTAATGAAAGTCTGTACACTTTGAGCTTTTTTTTTTTTTTTTTTAAAACAAACACCCAAACAGATTTCTAAGAGTAAAGGTAGACTTTTATTTGTCAAGTGAGTCAAGAGACAGACTATTAATACCTTCGATTACTTCTTTGCATAGGTAAGTTAAAAAGAAATATGTTTGTTGGTCATATGTGCCCTCTTGCACACAGGTATACACAGGTGTGTGCACATAGCCTTAAAATGACTGAGTTATTCTGGAAATTGACAGTAATTCTCATTAGGAGAAATGAAGAAAAGTAAGGCAAAAGGAATAGGATAGGAGAAATACATGTACATAAATATATTCCCAAAGCAGTGTTTTTCACATTTGAATAATAGTTGCAAAATAACTATTAATGATGTAATCACTAACATTTGAGTAATCACTGTGTACTCAGCACTGTTACAAGCACTTACACTGCTGTTTTACTGTTACACTTGTGTATGTTTATATGCCCAGAATATGTGTGCAATAGTTTACATATTTTCACATTTTTGTGATTGAGTATACCATCCTCGATCTGTAGTCCATCAGCCTAGAGAAAAAAACCAATGAGTTCTGTAGTTATTTTTAAAGGTAGAGTATTTTTCTCATTTCTGATTCTTAATTCCCTTGAAAAGTTCTATTTGCATAAAACCAAGAACCCCAATCTGCATGATATTTTTGTGGTTAGTTGCTATAAAGCCAGTATTTAAATTTCTCTGAGTTCTCATTTAGTATCTGGTATCACAAGATGAAGATCTTGTCAGGAGAGGGAATATATATATATATATATGGCTCTTGGTCTTGTGCATTTTGTGACAAAGGAATTCCCCTCTGAATCGCCTGTTCTTCTGAAGGCACTGGAGCCTCTGGCTCAGCAGCGCAGTTGGTCTGTGGTGTCTCTGACGTCATCGGTGTATGCATAAGCCCTGCTATTGTCTTACTGCTACAGCAGGGCTAGGGATTGCAGTATCCTCTGCTGCTGCTGCTGCTGCTGCTCCCCAGTCCTGCCTCACCACATCCCAGAAGAGCCCCGTTGGCCTGCCTTTCCCTATTGGATTTCCAAAAGCAGCTCTTTGGTTTTGGTTTTTGGTGCTGTAGGAAACCTTGCTTTTCAGTCACACGGGAGAATACTGAAGCTTGTAAGAGGAGAATCTGGCAGCTGGACAGAGCTTGGACTGCATTGTCTGTCTTCACGACCCCTGCTGTGTAGTCTCATCTTTTCACTCTCACACGTACACTCGCCTTGATTTTTCTTCTTTCCTTTTTTACCCCCTTTCTTCTGATTTTTTAAAAGCAGCCTCTGGAGCCAGCCATGTTTGGCACTGAATCTTCATGTAAGTAAATGGATCCCACTTATTTGCTGTTTAGAAATCTCCTTGCTGTCATGGTTTCATTGACTTGGAGTGCATACCACTTTGACTTAGGTCATTAACAGTCTTTGTATTTTTGCTCTAATTACGAAGGAATTGGTCTCACGGAAGAGTTTGTCCCTTAATTGGGTTAGTCATCCTGAAGGCCGGGGATGTCAATGTAGTCAGAACCAGGCCTTCAGGAGCGAGGGAGGAACACTGGATCCAGGCAGCCTCTCTAGAATGTGTTAATTGATAGGATCAAGCCTGTCACTAATCTATTGTTTCGGGTTCTATAATAAACCTTTATAGACCTTAATAAACCTTAATAGAGATACTGAGAGGATCAGTGATAATAGTGTTTGTTAGAAAGGATAAAGGGCTTACTTTTTTTTTTTTAATCTAAAAGGATAAACAGTATCATAACCTCTTCCTCCATATGTTTTTTAAAGAATTTATTGGCTTATTATTAAAAATATTTTAAAATAGTTATTGATTTTTAGAGGAGGAGTAAGCGATAGGGAGAGAGAAAAACATCAATGTGAGAGCATAACATTGATTGGCTGCCTCCTGCATTCCCCCCCCCCCCC